TTTTGTTTTAGAAGGTCAGCAGGGGCAATCCAAGAAATGAGAGGCCAGTGAGCCTGACATCAGTGGTAGAGAAAATATTAGAAAAGGTTCTTTGGAACAGGATTTACTCTCATTTGAAAATAGAATGAATTAATTAGGGGTACTCAGCATGGCTTTGTGCACGGGAGGTCTTGTCTCTCAAATTTGATTGAGTTTGTTTGAGGAAGAGATAAAGATTATTGAGAGTTAGGCAGTAGATGTTGTCTGCATGGACTTTATGAAAGCACTTAACAGGTTCTGTCATGGTAATCTGGTCCAGAAGATTAAGTCACATGGGATCCATGGTGAGTTGGTAAATTAGATTCAAAATTGGCTTGTCATAGATGGGCAGAGGATCGTTGTGGAGGGGTGTTTTGCTGATTGGATGTCTGTGATCAGTGGTGTTGTACATGGATCAGCTCTGGGACCTCTTTGTAATACACGAATAATTTGGATGAAAATTTAGGTGGTCTGATCAGTAAGTTTGCAGATGACATGAAAATTGGAATTGTGGATTGTGAGAAAGGTCAGTTGAAAAGTTGGGCAGAGAAATGGCAGATGGCGTTTAATTGGACAAATGTGAGATAATGCATTTTTGGAGGTCAAATCCAAAAGAAAAGTATACAGTGAATTGCAGGACCCTTAGGATCATTGATATACAGAGACATCTTGGGGAGCAAGTCCACACCTCCCTGAAAGTGGCAGCATAAGTGGATAAGGTGGTAAAGATGAAGTACGGCATGCTTGCCTTCATTGGTCGGGGCATGGAGTACAAGAGTTAGTCAGTCATGATGCAGCTATATAAACCTTTAATTAGGTCACATTTGGAGCATTGTATACGGATATGGACATCAAACAACAGAAAATATGTGGAGTTTTTGGAGACAGTGCAAAAAAGGTTTTTCAGGATATTGCTGAATTGGAGTGTAATAAGTTGGACAAACTTGGATTGTTTTTTGCGAGAGCATCAGTGGCTGAGGAACATCCTGATCAAAGTATTTAGAATTATGAAAGGCATGGATAGGGTGGATAGTCGGCCTCTTTTTCCCAGGATAGAAATATCAAATATCAGGGATCACAGGTTTAAGGTGAAGGGAGGAGTTTAAAGTAGATGTGCGAGTAAAGTTCTTCTCACAGAGGGTGGTAAGTGCCTGGAACACACCGATAGGAAGGTGCTAGGAGCAGGTAGAATATTTTAAGAGGCGTTTAGTCAGACATGAACAGCAGGGAATAGAAGGATATAAACCAGGTTTAGTTTAGAATGACATCATGGTCGCCACAGGCATGATGGGTGACAGGGCAGTTACTGAACATACCTAATGGTGTCAGAGCCCAGGATGTCAAAAGATAAGGTTCAAGCACTCTAGGCTAGGGCAACTGTCTCCAGCTAGAAATATTGAAATAGGGGCAGTCCTTCTGGCTTCATTATGCCAAGTTGGAAGCCCCACCCCATCCCCCTTTTTTTTTATGGCTTTCACAGTTTGAACTAGAAGATAAATACAAGTTAACTTTGAAGTGTTATCACTTCCTATCTTTTTCACTTACATTTACATTCATGTTATTACCAAATTCTCTCTGGAGTTTCCATTAATTGAGTGTTTAATACTATAATTCCTAAACCTGAAAGTTATAAAGGGGTGGCACGGTGGCTCAGTGGTTAGCACTGCTGTCTCACAGCGCCAGGGATCTGGGTTCAATTCTAATGTCAGGTGATTGTCTGTGTGGAGTTTGCACATTCTCCCTGTGCCTGTGTGGGTTTCCTCCGGTTTTCTCCCACAGTCCAAAGATATGCAGGTGGGTGGATTGGCCATGTTAAATTGCCAGTAGTGTCCAGGGATGTGAAGGATAGATGGATTAGCCACAGGAAATGCAGGGTTACAGGGATGGGGATAGGGATGGGTCGGGGAGGTATGCTCTTTGGAGGTTCTGTATGGACTCGATGAGCTGAAATCCTGCTTTCTCACTGCAGCGGTTCTATACTTCATAAAGTTTCAACCATGGAATAGATTTTTGTAGCAGTAGAATCTGATTTTTGATGCTGATTGAGGAATCATTGTAGGACACCAGTGATCTTAATTTGAGTAGTGCCATGCAAATTTCTTGCCCAATCACACCTGATTAAATGGTCATTCCTCATACTAGAATTAAGTGTCAACAGATTATGTGTTTGGGTCTTGAGAGTTGTCATCTATATAAGACACAAGCTCATAGTGCATCCCATGTTTTAAAAAAATGCTAACAATAGAAAATCGAACATTTTATCAATTATTTTAAAAGAAGAGACTTGTATTGACCTTCATGCCTGGAGATGTATACACACCTGCACTACTGCAATATGCTTAATCTATAAGCAACCTTAATAATTATTACTTGTGGATTGTATTAAACAAAATAATAAAATATTCCAAACAAAATATGGATATTTAAATAAAATATATTTTATTCTGTTGAAAGGAATATCTCCTCTGTCACTCAATTAACAAAAATCTTTGAGAAGAAACCTTCAAGAATAGGTCACAATGATAGCTGCTCAACTTCATGCATAATTCCTTCAGTTGGTGGGTCAGACAGATGGCCCCAAAACTCCTTTGTGACTCTCAGTGGCATTTCCACTCTGTACTTCTGCCAAGAATTACTGAATGGAAGGGCCAACCAAATGGAAAGTCATTTTATTTTCACTTTGAAGAGTTGTCACAAGATACGTTTTCAATTCTAATGCACAGGGTTCAATATGGATTTCATCTTGGCTTCTTTACTCCACCCCGTGTCTTCCCCTTGTTGTCCATCTTCCACCCACCCCATGCCCCCTCCCCCCTCCCGAAAAAAGTCACTGCTTTTGTACCAGCTAGGTTGTTTTTTGCATATTATTATAAAGCAAAAGCAGCATAAGGTTTCAGTGGCACTAAGAAATAATGCTTTATGGTAAATTTAGGTTTGATAAATTCCTAAAGTAATCATAATCAGAAAGGCTTAAAAAGAGCATGCTATTTTCCTTGGGTACATTACTCACTTTGAGTGGAGGACCGAATATTTGAAATACTCGGCTATCGCTGTCTCTAGATATTTTCTCCATATTATTGAGGATTCCATATGGGTAAGTCATTCTTTTGTACGAGTGATGTAGAGAAGCAAAAGCATTTATAGTTGCAGAATCACTAAAGGATGAAAGCGATCTATTCTGTTCTAGAGAGCTACAATTCAAAAAACAGAGAAGTTATTACACTTGTTTGGAATTGTGGTTAGACCACTATTGGAATACTGTGAACACTTTTGCTCTGTGATGTAGTCATTAACACATGAGGGCAGGGCTGAACAAACTTTTTCTCCTGTGATCATCTCATTTTAATGCCTCAGTCTTTGTGTGAACCCAAAGCAAAAATTGGTACTTGCTTAGATTTGATTGGTGGGGAGTGGCAGCATTGATTGGAGAGGGAGATGGGGTCAGGTGGTGGAGTTGTTTAAATCTGGTGTAAAAATTGTACCTCAACCTTTTTACAGGCTGCATTCGTACCAGAGAAAAGGCACAGTGCCCAGTGACTGAAAATAAATGCAAACACTGAAAGGGACCTCATAACTTCCAAAATTCAAACCAGCATCCATTGCTGCCTCAGAACAATCTCATTTCACAGTTTGGGAAATCTTCCATGAGAGAATATGCCAAAATATCTTCAAGAGTCATATTTGAGCTGGAATATTATGTTGATCAGGAAAGATTGAACTGATGGGGCTCTTTTCTCTGGCAAGAGAAGGCTGAGGGGTGAATTGATAAAAGTCTCTAAGATGAAAGGTAAACTCACCACTGTCCTAGAGGACCTTAGGGTTGCTCTGTCGTTAGAGAGACAAATTGGTGGTGAGTTTCACCTGGTTTGTGAAGGTAGATGTCAATAAGACCTTCCCACATTTGAACCGAGACCAAAACAAAGGGTCATAAACGTAGATGATGAGTAATAATTCAAATAGAGTGTGCATGAAACAAAAATCCTTTACCCAGAGAGTAGATAGAATATAGCTGTTGTAATCACAAGGAATTGTTGAGATGAGTAGCACAGCCACATTAAGGAAAAGTGGCATAAACAGACAAGGCAGAAAGAAATTGGATATGTTGAAAGGTTTTAAAAAAGGAATGGGAAGTCCCTCTTGGATAGCATTAACGTTGGCTTGGACCGATTGGACTAAAAGACCTGATTGTGTGATTCAGTATAATTCAGATTGGTGTGATAGCTGACGGGATAGAAATCCCTGTTTTTTGAAACTGATTGAAGGGGGCCTCTGATTTACAAACGACTGACATACAAACGTGCAAATCTATGAATGTGATCCTATGCAAGGATATAATTGTAGATTTCTGGCTTATGAGCATTTCCTTTACTACTGACAGCTGTTTTATATTGTCCTGTATTGTGTTTCGACTTGCGTACAAATTGACTTGCAAATGGAGCAATCTGGAGACTGCTTACAGTTCAAGGCATCTCATCACAGCCACATAAGCACACAACCTGTAACATAGATTTATGATTGATTAACTTTGTAAGTAATAACTACAATAAGTATTTTGAAAATAACTTTTGCTTTCATTAATTAAATTTATATTGCAGCACTGCATTCCATTTAAAATGATCCCATTATAGATGTCATTTAGGAAATTACTCGTAAATTTAAACATTTTGTTTACACATTTTTATTTGAAACTAACTTTGTTCAACAATAATCTCTCATTATTGAAATTATTCCAAGATTTCATTATTAATGTCTGTTGATATCATGAATTCATACATTGGATTTATCTTTGAAAAAAGTGCAATAATTTAACACTTGAGCTGCCAGATTCCATAAATATTATGGAAGTAATTGAACAACTGTGGTTCTGAAGTACAGCCTACAAAATTGACTGATTATAAACTTTTATATGTGGATCATTGGAGTCTGGAACAATTAGGTAATCACCAATTATTTAATGAGTAACTGTTTCTTTCTTGATGCAGGGTGGGCTAAGGAACAGCAAGCATGAAAGTACTCTCTCATCCCAAGAATATGTTCATGAGTTACGTTCTGGAATTACTGATGATAAACTTCTTAACTGCTTAGAATCACTGAGAGTTTCTTTGACCAGCAATCCTGTTAGGTAAGTGAAGCTTTAGTATGGAAATCAAATTTTTTAAGTCAACTTACCGACCACATTACTCTGCACAGAGGTTCTGCAAGATTGAAGTAAGAGAAAGCAGAAAGAACTTGCGTCAGTCTGACAACATGGATGGTTAAAAAATTGTCAGCTGATTGTAGGTTTAAATGTCAGAGCTGTGTGCTGATCAAGCTTGTCCACCATTGTTTTCATGATGTAGACTTTGGATAACATTGTGGAAAGACCTCTGGCTCAGACTTCTTTCTGACTAAAGAGCTTCTTTTGAAGGACTCTGATAAGCAGATTTAAATAGAAAAATGAGAATAACTAAAAGTAGTACATTAGCATGCTCAGAAAAAGCGAAGCTACCTTTGTTAAGCTGTATGTTCTTTCAGTATTAAATAGCTATAACAATAACTGGCAGTTGTATCTTTAACTTAAATCAACTTAATTAACTTGAAGAGTGATGTACTTTACATAATTTATGATAGATGAGAAGGGCTGAACTGGCTCCCCTCTTTTCAGTGATGACCAGAGAGGTTTAAATTATCCTTGTCTTTCTCCAGTTAAAATGTAGTGAACTTTTTTTTTATTGTAGAATAACAGAGCCAATCATAAGTTTTTTTTTGAGTGAGAGGAATAGCAATTGTATTACCTGCTAACCCTGTGAAAAATAATAAAGCTATGACATCAAGTGCGAAGTTAAGGGGGATAGTGTTGAGTACAAAATGATGATGAAGGATAAGTTCTCTGCATGTCCTTGAGACCTAACATTTTATCCTGAGACCACGATAGCCTCAGTTGGTTTCTTGGACAGATAGCAGTAGTGAATATTTTCTTGAGACTTATATTTTAAGTATTTTCCTGATCTTTCATCCTTTCAGTGTTGTCACCCGCCAGTTTCTTCTTGAGAGACAGGGAGAAAGCCTTCCACACCCTGTGTTCAGTTCTGAAATCCAGAATTCAATTCCTCTTCTCTGCCAAAAGAAGGCCCTTTGAATGGCAGCTTGGTTGTATACATCAGCTGAGTTCATTGGGTCCAGGCTTAATAATCATGAGTGATGAAACATCTCCAATGTATGAAGATTCTCCAAATGTTGTGAATGAAATAGGACATGAGGACATTTTCACACTTCCAATTGAGGGGCTAACTGGTTTCATTGCCCTTGTTTAATCCATGTTGGTTTCATGAAATTTAGTTGACTTGTGTTAGCCAGCTGATGCCTATGGCCTTTGTATGTCAGTTTATTTGGCCCATTAAAGTACCAAGTTATAGATTTGTTGATGGAATTCAAAGATCGATATTCCAAATTTTATATAATGTTGACCATAAACAGATGAATACAAATTGAGGAATGAATTTTGAGCAGTTGAATGGTTGGTTTTTCACCCTGGAAATGCATTGACATGGTAAATTCATCAGAAAAGCCTGTAATGATGGAAGGAATATAGATGATGTACAAAGAAGTGAAGATATGCAAATATAAACAACTACCGTAATGTAGAGATAGCAAGAACTGTTGATGCTGGTGTGAGAGACAACACAGTGTGGAGCTGGAGGAACACAGCAGGCCAGGCAGTATCAAAGGAGCAGGAAAGTTGACATTTCAGCTTGGGACCCTCCTTCAGAAAAAGAGTCTTCTGAAGAAGGGCCCCGACCTGAAATGTCAACTTTCCTGCTCCTCTGAAACTACCACAATGTAGTTTGGATTCTGTCCCTACTCTGAAAAAGCGATTTAAATTATTTGCAGTGAGAAAGAAGTTAAAAGGCCTCACCTGAAGGTGCTTGACATGGAACAGAAAAGTAAAATGGAACAGAAATGGAAACAAATAACTATCAAACTGGTTTCAAAGACAAACTAGTACAGAGGAGGAGACTGGTAAGTTTTGGAGATTAGCTGCTGCCCATGAAGGGCCAGAGGCATATCTTGCCATTTGAGAGAGATAATTGGTTATATAGCTCAAGAGCTTAAGGAGCACCACTCCAAGCCAAATGTGGGGCCAGGCAAAGAGACAGGCCGACAAGAATTATTGCAGCTGCCAGCAGGATCAAACCAGTTAACGTCGTGCGAAACCACACTCTAGTCATTTCGCCAATTGACTCCTGAGACCACTGTATTGTGAATTTGTATCTACGATCCAATTTTGTGTTTCCAAGCAAAGAAGCTACATCTGTGGTTAGATAAGGGTAACGTACATTTTAAGTGCATAATGAAATATTGTAGTTAATTCAGTCTTTGAGTTAGTGGTCAGAATGATAAAACGAGTCTTGGGTTAGACATTTCCAGGTTTCACTTAATTTGAGCTTTGTGTATTGTTGGTAGTGATTTCACCAAGTGGAACCAATGAGCAGAACATGTAGAAAAGTGTGTTTGGCGTGTGGAGTGGTGTCTGGGATTTGCATCTTTATACTAATTTGAAGTAAAGTTATTGAGCAAATTTAAAAGGAACATGCAAATGTTAAGCAAGTAAGAAGATCGTACAGGGTAGGTTTGAATGGATACAATGCTTAACAATATGGAGAGCATTGCTGCAATATATTGAGGCATTCAATTGTGCAAATTTCCACCGAATTGAATGAAAGATTACAGTGAAGTCCCTCTTGCCCAGTACCCTGTAATTCAGAATTCTCATGTACTCAACAATCGATGAGGGTAGGTTTCCTCACATTGGGGCTGATAATTTTATTGCCTCTATCGCACTCTTGCTGTCTCGCGCTCTCGCACTCTTTGTCGCTCGCTCGCTCTCTCTGTCTCTCATGATCAAATCTCGTTGATAACATTTGAGCAGTCCTGTCCAAACCATTCTCTGTTCATGCTAGATACCAAATGTTGGCCATATGTCTGTCTGTTTTTTAATTCCAAGGTTTCAATTCCTTTATTTGCTGCTATGATTTAAAATATTTTAATCTCATGAAATTTCTTCCACTAAAATTGACAAATGCCTTCACACTTTTATTCTCACCACAACGTTTACACACGAAATAGGAAAACTATTTGGCCATTCCTCAAGCCTATTTTGCCATTCAGTAAGCTCATAGACAGTTTTCTATCTGAACTCAACTTTCCCATGCTTTCTATTGATCTGTGTCTTGATTATACTCAATGACTGAGCTCTCAGAGAGAGAGAAATCTGAAAGTTTACAATCTTTTGAGTGAATAAATTTTGCTCATCTCAATCCTAGATGCTATCTCCTATTACCAAACCTTGGTTCTTGACTTCCCAAACAGAAGAAATATTTTCCCTGTCATGTCCATTCAGAATTTTGTTTTAATTAGATTATTGTATATTCTTTAAAACTGTAGGAAAAGTAGGTTTGCTTTACGTAAACCCTCCTCATAAGACAATCATCTTATCCCAGGAATCAGTCTAGTGAATATTTTTTGCACTTGCTTTAAGCATGTCTTTCCTTTGGTAAGGTAAATTAAATGATACATAGTGCTGTGGTCTCACTTAGACTGCGCGTGACTGTTTACAATAGCTTCTGATTTCAGGTGGTGTATTTGTGCCATCTGCCAGTATCACTTGCTTATTCCCCTTCAGATAGCACCTTTCACAAGTAGATTTGTGTATCTTGTGAACTAAAGGTATCATACAACATATATTGGAGGCAATATAGTGTACTCATACTCTATAAAAGAAATTATATGCCATTGTCTGTTAGTAGAAAGAGAATCTAACGTGACAAATAGTAAGAGTAAACCAGTGAAAAGATAGTTAACTTAGCTCAGCACAATACATTATTTCCTGAGCTTGATAGACAAATCGTTTCCTTTCTTCTACTCTTCACTATTTTGAGTTCTTCAGATAAGCACACGTCTTTACACTCCCTATAATCATTCTCATCACAATAACCTGACAGAATGACACATCAGACAATGTCTACCAGCTCCGTCATTCACTAATTTCAGGCAAAGTGGATCTAATCCAAGCAGAATGCTAGGTGGCACTTGATGGGCAAATGTTCACATTTGTTTAAGCCTTCCTTCCTTCCTTTTGTTCAAACTGCTAAGTAAGTGAAGCTGAATATCACCAATCCCACCTCTTGATCAAATGATCCAGTCTGTTTCTCACAGACAGGTTGCCCTCTTTGCAGTTATTTATCTCAATTAATACAGTTGCCCTTTCAATTTAAATCAGCTTAAAATCTGAAATAAATAGGGAGAGAGGGGGAGGCAGATAGAAGATGGATAGAGGAGAAGATTGGTGGAGAGGAGACAGACAGGTCAAAGAACTCCCTTCCCCTCCCCCATTTCTGAAGAAGGGTCCAGGCCGGAAACGTCAGCCTTCCTGCTCCTCTGATGCTGCTTGGCCTGCTGTGTTCGTCCAGCCCTGCACCTTGTTATCTCAGATTCTCCAGCATCTGCAGTTCCTGCTATCTCTGAAACAATTTTAACCCCACTACGAAGCCTCTTCTAAGGATGCCTACCCTGAAGAAGTTACCGTCCTCCCTCCGAAACAACCTAGTGGATCTCTTTCCCACTGCAACTGTCTCTTAATCTCTTCGGCCTTCAAACTGCTCGACCACGTCCTGAAGCAAACCAGGTACTACAGCCACATCACCTTCCATCCCCGCCTCTGACCTGTCTGTCTCCTCGCCACCTATCTTCTCCTCTATCCATCTTGTATCCGCCTCCCCCTCTCTCCCTATTTATTTCAGAACCCCCTTTCACTCCCCCATTTCTGAAGAAGGGTCTAGGCCCGAAACGTCAGCCTTCCTGCTCCTCTGACGCTGCTTGGCCTGCTGTGTTAGTTTCCAATGACTTCCAAAGTCACCAGGTCTGAAAGTAGCCAAGCTCTCAGCAGAAACAAGGGAATGTCCCACAGTTGGGACCCTTTTGCCTGGAAAAAAGGCTATCTAAGGAATAATTACCTATACATTCAAATTCTTCATCTGCATCAATTTGCTCCCAATGTGACCTTCAAAATTCATTGCATGGGATGAATCTTCCAAAATAAATGGTTTGCTGGAATAAGGACAAATACAAATCTCATCACGTAAA